GCTTGGTCTATTTCATTGTGGATATCCTGACTATTGTCAATTTGTTCCTCATTATCCTTATTTTTTTTTGAAAATTCCTCTACCATGATGGAGTTCAACTGTTTGTTCTTGTAAATATGGCAAGAAAAATTTTTTTCACCGCATTTAAAGCATAAGTTCTGCAATCTTCTTTGCTCCAAAAAAGTTTGCTTTTGTGCTGTATTGAGGGTGACTTTTTGTGGTTGGGACCAAAAGTTATAAGGGTTCTTGAAAAGAGTACAGATGTTATTGGTGGAACTGGGTTTAGTAGGTGGTTTGTTTCTTTTGGATTCAACTTCCAAGGCTAGCTGGTGTACTTAGCTTGCCTATAGGCTGTCACCAAGTCTGAGGCTCACTAGCCTTTACTCTTGGTTTGAGATCTTCTTTTAGGCCATTTATAAAACTGGATACAAAATATAACTCATCCAAATAAAGGTTATTCTAAAGCATGAATGGCTTGAGCTCTTCAAATTTCTCTTGATATTTTTCCATTATGCTTTTTGAGTCAGCTTGTTGAATTTTTCAATCACGTCTGAACAAGTCTTGTTATAAAATCTCTGGCAGAGATCATTAGAAAATTTCTGCCATGTAAATCTTGGGTTTTGCATCAAGTATCCATCAAACCATATTTTTGCTCTACTAGTTAAATACATAGCAGTTATCTCCATTTTTTGATGATCTGACACTCCAAAAATGGTAAAATACTTTTGACATTTTCTTAACCATCATTTAGGATTCTCACCTTCAAGTAATGGAAGTTTGATTTTTGGTCGAGGGGTAAAAGTATTTAAGCCTAGAGGGTAGTTAGTTCTAGATGAAGCTTCAATATGTTTGCCTGCCATCATGCTATTATGTATATTATTAAAGTTATTGTCCTATTGAAGTTTTGGTAATAACCTTGGATCATCAAGCTTATAACTAAGCTTATTATATTTATCAATAATAGTTATCTTAATAGGATTCTTACCCTCCCTTTTAGTTTGCACTAATGGAGCCAAATGAGAACTACCAACATGCTAATTTCCTCTTAGATTTAGCTGGGTTGGAGATTCCCTTTTCTGCAATAAGGATTCCAGCATCTTGGTCAAACTATTGTGATTCTTAGCCATTTTGATTTCCAACTCTTTTTTTTTATCTTCCCATAGTTTTGACATGGAAGTCTGTGTTGCCTTCATGTCCTCCAACTGCATCAAGATATTCCGAACTTGTTCATGTAAACTATTCAACCGAGTGCCTTTAGCCATGGAGAGTTGTTTCCTAGTTTTTCCAAATGTTGATATGAGATCGCAACAGGCTCTGAAACCAATTTATCACGATTTAGTTGTGACTTGATTAGGGTTTTAGGATTAAGAAGAGAATATAAAAGAATTGAAAAGACTAAGTAGAGAATAGAGAAGAATTGAAGAGACTAAGAAGAGAATAGAAAGGGATTCAAAGAAGAAATTATCTTTTTCATTCATGAAAAATCAGTTACAATCATAAATTATTTAAATAAAGTTATTGTGAAACAATCATGTAAACCGTAAAAAATGCAAATTTGTAGAGTATTACTAGTCACTAGATTAATAACTGACTCTAACCCCAAAATATTAATAACTGACATCACCATCTTCTGTCATAATCCTGCTCATGCCACTATTGCTCTTTTCTATCAAGTTCATCGCATTATAATTCCTGTCCTTAATGATAATCACCATAGTGATCTCATTAATGGATAAATAGTTTCTACTGGGTATATATTGACATATTTGCTCATGAAAACAGACCTTTTATTCCTCATGTGTTGATATCCAGAGGTGGAGCCATTTGTCAATCAAGTCAATCAATGTCTGAGAGCCGCTACGATGACCTTTCCAAATTTGTCAATAGAATGCTTTTGTCTCTTTATCCAGTCATCATTCTTGCTTCAAATTTTCAACATAACTTTTGTTCTTTTATTGTCTTCTTCTTCGTGGCTGAAGGTCCAAAATCGTTAGCATCATCCTTACGATAGGTGTCCCGTCCACCCAAAGTTCATGTTTGACAAATTGAAGATATTAGTGCCAGAACAGTCCACTATGTAATTTCGAAAATGATAGTGAGAAGATGTGAAACTGTGAAAAGGTACGGGGATTATATTGGACCTTGTGATATGGATGTTTTCTCTATGGGAAGAGAGATATAAACTGATGAGACAATTGTCATTAGCTTATTCTCACATTTTTAGAATTTGCCTGCCTCTCTTCCCCTGTTTTAAAATTTAGCATTTTACAATTTCTCAAGTTTGTTTACATGCAGGTCCTGTGTATTGATGCATGTATATGCAAGTTTAAATCAAAGCATCTTTGCTTGGTCAGGATAAATCTAGTGAATGCATCCAGCCTAGTGTATTGCTTGGAATTAGAATCCTTCCCCTAATTTTTGTCGGCATTATTGTTGACACATTATCTTGTGTTATTAATGTCCTTGTTGTAGATATAAGTAATGAAGTAACAAGTCATTACTGTGGAATGTATTGGCATTTATCACAGATGCCAAGGACAGACGGAGGAGGATTCTTGGTTAGTTGTTCTCACTTGAAATGATGCCTTTTTTTTTTTTTTTTAATTTCTGCTGTCCTTTATTTGAAAATTGTTAACTGGGAAAAAAAGTCCCCCTTTAATGTTTATTTCAAGCAAATTTCCATTGAAACTGCTTTACTGTTGGTCTTTATGATGGATATGGCTGGCGTTTTGTTTGGGACCATGTCATGAATTTTCAATTTTGTGACCTTTGCAACTGTGGCCTGGCCCTTATTTTCTCCGATTTAGTTTTGTGCAGCTAGGTTTATGTAACTGTTGCTTTAGAGTCATCTTTGAAGTTGACATGAAGAACCACGGATGCACAAGTTTTTTTTTTTCTTTTTAAGCTGATTGTCAGTACATTCGCCGACAATTGTCTTGACAATTGGCTCAAAATGAAAAAGGGGTGGAAGAAGAAGCCGTGATATAAACTTAGAAGTTGGAAATTGAGAGGAATACTGTAGTCTTAAGAGGTTGAAGCCTCAGGTAGAATAGTGGTTGTGGAGTTAGATTGATTGATCAGGAAGTTGCTTGGTTTCATTTATTTACTGTTATAATTCAAATGACAGAATCTAAGCTGATTGATTAAGAGTTGAGACTTTTACAATGCATACAATGAATGAGGTGGTAGAATAAACTGAACGAATTTGAGATAAATATATAAATTGGTATGCTAAATGATAATTATTTTTGTTAGAAACTATATATATTTTGATGATATGCTTTCCTTTTGAGATGATTTTTTTTTTAGAAAAAATGTAAGAAGCCAGTGGCGGATCATATGGTAGCCAAGGGTCGACCAAAAGTTAACAATCGAGTTCAACATCTTTGCGGCGGATGCCACAAGAGTTGGGTCGCAGACGTGGACTTTCGATGGGGCAAGGCCGTTTACGGTGGTCCAACTGGGGCTATATCTCCTATAAGGCTCTATGCAAAAAAGCAAACAAACTAATAATAAGAAGCGGAAAGAATTGCTTTACCGAATATAGATTGTGGTGCTGAAGCCCTTCCGGATATATGCCAGAAAGACTTGGAAAATTGTAGTCTAGAAAATGGGCCTCTTCTGCTTAGGTGTAACTGAGGGGCCTCATGGTTACCAACACCACCTTGGAAGGTAATGGGCCGTACATAAACATAACCATATAGAAAATTTTCGGATGTACAAAAAATTTGCTATCACAGAATGGGTCATGGACTCATGGCTGCCTCCTGGGTGGATTATTAATTTTATCTTTTCCTCCCAAATAAATAAATATATATATATATTATTTGTAATTAAAAATATGGTGTATCTCATATCAAATAAAAAATATCACTTGTATGTAATTTAGATTAAATTATTTGTTGTTTAAATAATTGAATTAAGTTTTGAAGTTGATCAAGTTATTTGGACTTGATAAAAACTTTTTTACTAGATAAAAAAATTTTAAAAGTCAAAGTTTCACTTGAGTTTGTTTGTTAATTAGATTTTTTAAAATATTTTATTTATTAATTTTTATAATATTAATAAATTAATATTATTTTTATTTTGAATAAATTTATATGAATAAAAATAATAAAAATAATTATTTATAATAAAATAAAATATCATAATTATTTATAATAAATAATTATTTAAATAATCACAACTATTCAAATAAAAAAATTATACAGATTATCATAATTTTTAAATAAAAATTTATAAATATTCTCTTATTATAAATAATTTTTTTACATAATCAATTTCATTAATTTTAATTTAAAGAGATTAAAATTTTATTGTATCCTATAAATATAATTATTTTTAGAATAATATTTTTTACATCTCAAAATCATTTTTTTTTTATTTTTATTTTCTCAAAATTTTCCACCATAAATGCAACACTAAGTGGGGGTCGAGCTTGGTGCATAGGCATATAAAGGAGTGTCTCCTTGATATGGAAATGGAAGTGTGATTTTCAATGAAGCTTTTGTAAATGATTCTCCCCCTTCCTATTCCCACAATTAAGCTTTGCGAAATAGTACAAGTTTTGATCTCCCTTCTTTACTCTGACTCTCGACTCCTGAGAGTAGTTTACGTTACTTACGTAGCCAGCACAATGCCAACCAAGTTGATATTAATCGGTTCAAATAATAATTTTTTTAAAAAAATTCATTACTTTATTTAAATAAAATTTTATATTTTTATTACATTCAAATACATTATTAACTTTTAATTTATATTTAAATAAATTTTCTAAATAAAATCATTAATATAAATGAATATTTTACTGAAAATAAAAAGTTCATATGAATATAAACGTAAGGATAACAGTTTATTTATATACAATAAAAATTTCAAAAATTATTTAAATAAATTAAATAATCAAAATTTAATTTTTAATACCTCAAATATTAAAAAAATTTTATTTAAAAAAAATCCCATTGCAGAATTTTTAATATATATATTTTCTTCTAGTACATATCTGGTGGATTAGGGAGTTAGATCAGACAAGTAAGTAACCCTCTGTCGTGATCCCTTGTTAAAGTTAAAGGCTTCCATTTGATAATCCGTAAAGGCTAAAGCAATTAAGAAGTTCAGTTGGGCTTTGGGATAATGCTTGGGCTATTTTCAGACTGGTAAGTGCTGAGTGAGGAGCCATCGTCACCCAATCCAATCCATCCTCATCAATCATCGTTTCCGTTTATTAAAGAAGGGTTGGATCTTAGCGGGTTGAGTACGCTGTTCCCACCGTTTGAGTAGGACAACGCCCAGACAAGAGATCAGAGCCGTAACTCCTGCGTTGAAAGTTAAGACATTCGTTCTCAATTACTCCTCTTGCTCGCTGTGCTGTGCTGTGCTCCTTTTGCCAAGAAGTCAAGTACAAATATGTTCCTCTGCCTTTTCTCTTGTTTAGTCTTTACAAATTAATTCAAACTGGTTCCTGCTGCATGATTTTATTTATTATTTATTTTTTTTGAAAATTTTCTCGTACTAGTCGTATCGTATTGTATCATTCAATGAAAATAACCTTCAATTTGCCCGTCTTTCTTGATTTTGCATCTGCCCCCATAATCCCATTCCCTGTGTTACGTCGATTACATGGAGTGGAACTTGCAAAAATTGGCCTAGTAATTTGTCCACTTTCTCTATGTAACGATCATTTGTTATTTTTCAAATGCTGCATTTATCACTGACACCTCCAATCCCCAGAGCCCAACAAAGAAAACCAAAAAACTAAAAATCACAATGCGACATTTTTTGTATTACTAGGTAAAAATTTTAGATTGTTGTAGGTTTTGAGATGGATTTGCCCAGATTTGTTCGTACGAAAGAAGGAGATGGTGAGTCAAGTCCAAACCTTTATGTGGCAAACTGTGGCCCTGCAGTGGGACTTTCATATGACACCATTGCATCTGTGTTTAGCTCTTTTGGGGAAGTCAAAGGAGTGTTTGCAGCTGATGAAAGTGGTGTTCGCGTCATCGTTTCTTTTCTTGAATCAACATCAGCTCATTCCGCTTTCAAAGCCTTGAATGGGCGGCCTTGTCCTCACCTTGGAGGCCGCTCTTTGCATATCCGTCATTCCATATTGCAACCACCATCTTCCACGGTGTGCATAATCTCACTTGCTTTTCTTGTTTCACACATATGCACTATGAGGTGTACTTTTGTACTTTTCCCCTATATTTAAATGTACCATTTACACTCAGGTCCATGATTCTGTTCCAGTCTCATTAATCGCTTCAGATTTAAACATTCCCGGACTCTACTTGTTCCATGACTTCATCAGTACTAAGGAAGAAGAGGTTAGGATTCCTTTGTACTAATTTATTTTATTAATTATTTATTATGTGATACATGCATTTTCAAGTAGCAGCACCTCCTAGATTGTTGCATAAGATCCTTTTATTTCTCTTCAGGAATTGATTCAAGCTGTTGATATTGGACCTTGGAAAAGCCTTTCGAAAAGGAGGATTCAACACTACGGATATGAATTTCATTATGATGTAAGATGGATGGACTCTCTTTCTGTGTAATATTGTCTACCTTGTTGATATTTCTGATTGAATAAGGTACAAAGATGTGGCGAATACAACATTTGTCCTAAGTTTCATTTTTCAGACTTTTTACTATTAGTGAAAATGTCTGATTTGCAATGTTGGAAACACATTTGCTATGGCAGTTTTAATAAGATTGGTTATTATAAGGTATCGCCTTGAGCTCCTGGGTGAAAGACCTATGATTTTGCTACCAAGGGTTAGGATATTCTCTTCTTTACCACTTTGAGTATTTGATTGTTATTGAGCTTTGACTGATTGGTGTAGAGCATATAAACATGTATGAATGTATTGATAGGTAAATGCTGTTTTCGACCTCCTGATACCAGTATGGATTGCTTTATGATCTGATAATTTGCTTGTTAATATAAGAACTATGAAAACTCATATAGCCATCTAACTCCCTATATATCCTTTTTCATGTTACAGACTAGGAATGTTGATGCAAAACAACATTTGGGTGCACTTCCATCATTTGTTTCTTTCATACTCAAGAGGGTTTCATTATTTCCAGACATTCCTGTGAATTTGGTTTTGGACCAATTGACGGTATGTAGTAGCAGGTTTCCATCCTCTTCTTCTTTTTCCTTAAAATTAGACTTTGTAAACCTATTACATATTTACTCTGTTTTGTAATTATACCAAAGATTTCATATTTTTATTTGAAAGAAAGAAAACCTTGATACTATGTCATGGTTATAGATATATAACTTGGAGGGTGGTGATGTTCTTTAAGCAAGACTGAAGATCGGTCATTACCTTACAGGTTAATGAATACCCACCTGGGGTGGGCCTGTCTCCACACATAGACACTCACTCAGCATTTGAAGGATTGATTTTCAGCCTTTCACTAGCAGGGCCTTGCATTATGGAGTTCAGAAGATATACAGCAGGATCATGGATTCCTAAAATCGCCTCAATAAGTGAAATGAAAGTTGAAAACCCTAACCGTTGCACTGAGCTTTCTAGGAAGGCTATCTATCTTCCTCCTCGATCTATGCTCCTTCTATCGGGGGAATCACGATATGCTTGGCATCATTATATTCCACACCATAAGGTATACTTTACAATTAAATGATTATCAAATACTTTCATTCATGCAAGTTTCTCTTCAAGAGGTTCAGAAATCTTATTTTTACTGTCACCATCATAAAACCTCAAAGATTAGTGCTCCGAGATCACGAGTCATGAAAACTAAACTAGGAAAAAGAGACAAAGAATCGGGAGAGAGGAAAACTTTTTCCTCCAATTAGGGCTTGGTTGGAAAGTAAAAAAGAATGAACAGAGTGACTAGATCTTATTCTTCAATCATTGTTTAATTATTTACACTGTAATTCATTTTACTTCAAAATTTGAAAGAAATTAACTTGCAGAATATTTTTGCATAAATTTTTTTTACCTTGAGAGCTGAACCTTTTGAACCAAGGAATTTCAAATCTCTTGCATACACAAATTTGGTCATTCAGTTTGAAAAGTATCCAGAATTCATCACTGCTTCCAGTGAGTGAAATTTGTTCAAGTACCTTAGACTGGTTGCCAAGGGTCTGTTAGCACTATTTTGAGGTTTTTAATTGTATATGAGCTGCATTCTAATTAAAACAGATGTTAATAATCACTGTATCTTAGTAATCACTCAAGTGTTAACCAGGGTGTTTCTAGTCAAAACATAGCATGCTAAGGCATGAACCTTAGGGAAGAAAGCACATCATTTTCCATTTGACTGATATATGGCAGAATTTGAAAAGGCCTGTAGTTTGGATGGAAACAAGAAAGGAATCTTGAAATCTGTAGCATTTCTTCTCGGTGATGCTTGAAGATCTTCCTACCAATTATATAAGTTTTTGTTTTTAATTCATTTTAAAGAAAATTTTAAGTAAGATGGACTGTTGTGATCAGGTCATAGTTTTCTCAATAATAGAAAAAGGGGAAACCTCCCAGCTCTGCATCTTTCTTTTTGCTTAAATACCTATAATTTCTCTTTGACTGTTAGATATTTGTATTACTGGGCATGTAATACCTCTGATGGCATTTGAACTGTCCATTGGCTTGCATGCATTGAAACATTTTTGCATCATTATTTATCTTCTGTGGACTTGGAAGTCCCTTAATCCTGAATTTGCAGATAGACAAGGTGAAGGAAACTATTATCAGAAGGGGTTCAAGAAGAGTATCTTTCACATTTCGTAAGGTGAGTTTTAGGCTGTGGTGAATCATTAGATTTTAGGTGGAGAAACTTGAATTGAATGCCTTCTTTCCTGCCTGCAGGTAAGAAGAGGTCCTTGCCAATGCGAATTTCCCCAATACTGTGACTCTCAAAGATAAGAGGCTGATTTCTTAATGAACCCGAAGTTACAACTGACAATGGACAACCTCATGTTTTCTCTCAAACAAGGATACAACTCTATGTAGGATTTTTAGTCTGGGATTTGGACAGTGTAGTGTAGGACATGTGCATGTATTAGATTCTTTTGCATTATTGCATTAGCTGGTATTTCTCTGAATTAACGCTGGTTTTTACGTTCTGTTCATTTTTTTTTTTAATATTCACTCTTACATACACATATTCATTCTTACCTGAGATTTTTTTAAAAATTAAATAATCTATTAATGTTGTTTCCGTTGTGATCACAATATATTGATATTGACTTGTACGAGGGGTAAGCAATTAATAATTTTCTTCTGCACTATAAATCATGGTAATATATATAGTAGCTAATTACTTTTTGCAACAGTAGCTGTGTATGGTTCTCTCAAATACTCCTACCTCTGGTCTCAAGGCCATCAACCCTCCTTCCTCGGTGTTTTCTGTGGTGATGGTGTTTGTTTTCGGTTCCAATGGCTGGAGGAGTTCTTTGCATGCTTAATGCACGCCTTCATTCAGGCACCATGGTCTAAGCTTAGTTCCAGTGACACATTCAGAAGCCAATATAACACCTGACAGTGAGTAACTGTTCAGGCGCCATGGATTCCCATTCTTTGGCCCAACACAAAGAGTGCAGTCAAGTAAGACAAGAATGTGAATCCCTGGACATCCTCAGGTTTCTTTTAAATTCCCTGAAAATGTGCTTAGCCTCATTCAAAGTATCCCTGTTACCTACTTCAAAGTGGAGCTGACTCTGTGTTGAAACTATCTGCGAACAGGGGAATTCTCTTTGGCTTGTGCATATAAGCTTGCCTCTCATGATAAATTACAATTAACATCCAAAGAGAACGGTGGGGACATGGATTTGAAAACAGAGGATCTATCCCAAGTTGCTGATCTTTCTATGAGAATGCATGCATCAAATACTGCCAACAAGGGTTTCTCTTAGAAGGCGAGGCATGGATATTCAGGAACTGTGCCCTTTCTGCCTAACCAGAGAATAAACATTGGTCCATCTGTTCATTGAGTGCCCGATGGTTATGTCCTGGTGGGAACAAACGAAAATTCCAAACCAAGAACGATATGAGAACCACGCCTCTTGGGCCAAATGGTCACAATTCAATGCAACTTCAATCATTATTTCATTAACTACAAATTGTCATAGAAAGTCATATTCACTTTTATTATGGGAAATATGGACAACCAGAAACAAGTTGATATTCGACGGAATGCTGGATTCAGGAAGGGCAGTCGCCCGAGCCACGGAACGTGCAAGACAGTTCCAAGCGATTGCGTGGAAAACCAAAAGAGTGCCTTTGCCCACTTTCATCAGGGTTCAATAGGAACCACCTCTACAAGCATGGTACAAACTAAATACTGATGGCTCTTCATTTGGGAACTCGGGAAAGGCAGGAGCTGGAGCAATTCTACGAGATCAGATCCTGCAATGGTTAGCAGGATCATCTCGACACATCCCAAAGGCCACTAGCTTAGAAGCGGAGTTATGGGCACTTAGAGATGGTCTCAAGCTTGCTATTGAAGTGGGAGTCCAAAAACTCGAACTGGAACTGGATACTGCTGCGGTGATCAACCTGATTAACAATTTTGACTGTCCCAATCTTTTTCTAAACACCTTAGTTTATGATTACAGGATGATGTTATTAGCTTCCAAAAGACCATGACGAAGCATATTTTCCATGAAGAAACAGGAGTGCAGATGCCTTTGCCAGGCAGGAAAGTGATGCAAGCTTGCTGGCTAATCCTAGTTCTATCCTTTTTGAATCTTTTCTTTAACCACCAGATTATGTACTTCACTTGTTATTAGCTGAGACTAATGAGATGGTGATGTACTGAAGTAGTGTATAATTCTATGCATGACACCTTTTCCAAACAAAAAAAAAAAAGAATTTGAGTTAAAATGATCCATTTTGCATAGTTGCCAAATTTGAAATTATGCCAAAGGAAAAATATGGGTAGATAATTTTGAAATATAATTGAAAATTGAAATTAAAAAAAAAAAGAATGAGGTGGGAAGCGCAATAAATACCTATCAATTCTTACTTGAATTCGAATTTTTTTTAATCAGAATCTAATTTTATTTGATTTGATAATAAAAAATCAACAATGTGAATTTTCTCAATCTAAAATTGAAAAGAACCCTAACCTAAATTGATTCAAATTAAAATCAACATAAACACGAAAGATTAACCCAAAATAATTCAAGACTAAATTAAGTATAATTCTATGCATAATATATATAGATATTAGTATTTTTTTTTAATTTTTAAATATTAATATATTTTTCCTAGTGATTGTACCAAACTTATTAAAATTATTGAAAATATTAAATTAATATATATTTTTAATATCAAATTAATATAAATTATATATATTGTGTTACGTACAAACTTTTTTGTAAATTATAATATGATTTAAAATAAATTATATATTTTTTAATTAGCAGGGCAATACATCTCATTTAGAATAAATGATATAATTTCTTATAATTTATACACGGACATTAACTATTATGTGATTTAGAATAAAAGATATAAAATAAGTAATTGATTTTTGCATATACGCTTTGTTATGATTATATTATTAATTTTGTATCCCATAATTCTGAATAAATTATGTAATGAATCATAATTATACTAAAATTCAAAATAATAAATTATTAAATAATGAGCTATAATTATAATAAAATTATTATATATATTGTAATCATAGTATTAATATGAAAAATAATTACATATTAAATGTATATCATATTAAATATTTAAAATATTTTTTATATGATTTTATTAAATAAGTAATTGGATATTATAATTAAAAATTTAAAATAATTTTTATATATTTATATTAAATTAAAATAAATATAAAATTACTAAATGTGTAATATGTTACAAACATATTTCAAGTGTCTTATATATATATATATATTCATGTAATATAATTTAATTAAAAATATATTTTTATATCTTATACGTATTAAAATTTATATTAACATAATTAAATATGAATATATTTTTTTCATTTTGCTTTATTATAATATCACCAGGTTATATCAATAAAATTTAACTCTAACTCAATTAAATAATTTTTTAAATTTAAAAATATTCAAATTCCACTAACTTAGATGTCAATCTCAAAATATCTAAGTAAAAATGATGCGAATCTAAAATTAAACTAAAAATAATCTGACTCCATAAAACTCGGATAGAAACTAACCTCAAAATCGAAATGACACAAATCCAAAATTGATCCATTTTTAAGGTCCGAAAGGACCTAACCTAAACCCCATCCTACCCGCAAATTGACAGGTCTAAATAGGGATGCAGGTCGAGTCAGGTAACGATTGGCAAAGGGGTTGGGTTCATCCACGGGAGTTTTGAAGACCAAAGGACAAAACAGAACAAACAAAATTCATCCTCAAATACAGGCACAGAAGGCGGCATGCCACGTTCTCTTTTCTCTACAACAATTAGAATAACAAAGCGATTGCTCTTTTATATTTTTTGGAGGCAGAGAGCATGGGTACGTCCCTTCCTTCCAAAGACTGACTCCTCCCTTCCTTATTACCATCTGCAAAGAAAAAGGAAAAAGAAAAAAATTGCCTTTCACTTGAGCATTCTTTTCAACACGTAACCATCTGCCAGATCTCAATACATCAGTCAATAGTATATAACATTTTCACTCCGCTTGTAAATCGTTTGAATGCCTTTCAAGCATAATCAGAGATGGCAATGACGTAATTAGGCTGATTTTTCCATTTCTTTTCAGCGAAACAAAGACAGATGGGGTCCGGTGGGAGCAAGGGTTCTTGCAGAGGATCTGCATCTTCTTCCAGCGGTGGCCGGCGGGGAAGATCCAAGGTGAAGAATAGAGTTTTCAAGTCCTCTTGTCTGGGAGCGCCATCTGGATCTGCTGACCCCGACTTTGACGCCCAGGTCCGACGCTTTTCTCATTTTTTTTTTTTTCATCTTCTTCCTCTTCTTTTAAAATAGAAAATATCGTCTTCAGGTTGTTGATCACCGGAATAAAGACTACCCCTCTAATGTTACCAACCGGAACCCGAGAGAACTGGAATCGGAATCCAATCAGGTGAAAAGAGAATGTTACAGAAAGGTTAAAGGTGAAGCGGCATCTGATTATGAAATGCCAATGTCATGCATATCTTCCAGTGATGTAGATATAGATGTCTCGAGAAGTGGTAGCAGCTCCGGTGGAGCCGCCTCAGCAGCGCATCACTCTTCTTCTCGATGCCTCTCCGGCTTTAGCTTCCTTCCGGGTAACTTGAGCTTCAGATTAAGCCGGGCTAATAGTTTGGGGTCGTCTAGGGCATATCCTGTTTCTCCTACAAGTCTTGCAATGTTGAACCATGATGACAATTCTGAGACACTTGAAACTCAACAACTTCCCCACAATCCTTCTTCTGCTCACGATGCAAACTTACATTCTCCCATAATCTTCAATGATAGGGATAGGGATAGACGTGTTGGAGTTGGAAGTCGAGAGCCTGGTGAAAGGAATGCTCGTTTTAGCAGAACCTTAAGTGTTGGAAGGCTTCGTGACCGTGTTCTTCGTAGAGCTTCCTTATCCGACTTCACATTCTGCCCTTTACAACAAGACAGACAACTCACTACCCAAACCCACACATTTGGAGGAGACAGAGACACACGGCAATCAGCTACCTTTCCAACCACCACCACCACCACCACCACCACTCCCGCACATGAAATTGAAACTTCACGATCTAGAGAAGCCAGGTATCATGATTTACTGGAGCATAGATCCAATTTCCTTGAAAGGAGGAGAAGGATACGATCTCAGGTTTGTAATCTTCTTGAACGCATGACCCTACCTACTACTCTTTTTAATTTAATATCTGGTGAGTACAGAAGAACCCAAATAGCATCTTATCAGCCTAACCGTGCTTTCTTCATTAACGATTATGATTACAACAATTACTTAGGCTAACGCATGTTCTGGTGTTGTATTTGTATCTAATTGTCATCTGCTCCTTCTTTAGGTTTTGCCCGCATTCCTTTCCTCCTTTGGTTGATTAAATTATTCATTTCATTGAATGCAGTTACTTGTCTGTTTACATTAGTTACTGACCTATGAAATGCTCTCTAGGTTCGAGCTCTTCAACGGCTGGGAAGTCGTTTCGAGAACTTTTCTGGACATGAGAGGTCTTGCATTTTATCTGGTCAACATAGAACTGGTCGATGCGCCTGTCGTGTCAATAATCGAGATTCCAATTCAAATGATGACACCAGTGCTAGGGCTAGCATATCCAGAATTGTTATGTTAGCTGAAGCTTTGTTTGAGGTAATTTTTATTTGTTATTGCCTTCTCTGGATGATCCTTCCTCCTACTTTCTCGTTGCACCTATATCTTGGGTTAAACTTTTACATATTTTAATTAGGTTCTGGATGAAATTCACCATCAATCTGTGGTTTTATCTTCTCGAACTTCTGTGTCTTCAATTGGATCTGTTCCTGCACCGAGTGAAGTTGTGGAATCGCTTCCTGTCAAAGTATACAACAAATCTCACAAACTTCAGAATGATGAGGCTGTGCAGTAAGTATTTATTTTCCTCTGCTATTTGATAGATGTTAAACCATTAATGAAGCTGTATTTTACATTTGATTACCTTATACAAGGATGACAATTATTCTTATTAGTTTCAAGCTTTTCTGATGTTTGAGTTACTTGATCTAAAATCATGTTCATAGATATTGCATATATTCACGAGAAGTTAATCAAACACTACATACTGATTAGCTTGGGTTTCAGGGCCTGCATTGTGTCAATCAATATTTTATTGCTTATATAATAGAAGAATGTGTACTCTGTATTCTGTTGGTTATTCCATAGTAAACGTTTTTCTTTTTACTGTTGGAAGCAATGGACTAAAAAAAAATTTCTTGTCAATGCTAATCTCTTTAATTTTGACATTTTCTTTAGCATTAGATATCATCCGCTTCAACTAATACGGTGCTTTAGATTAAGGTAGGCATTGCTGTAAATAATGTGTTCCATCAATTTATATGAAAATTATTGATTACATCTTTGCACTTGCGCTAGTTGCAGTGGTGTGAACATGGATATGAAAATGTGAGGTGAGCATGATATATTCTTCTCTTGCCAAAAGAAGAGGTGGAGGGTAAAATTCTGGCTTGGGTGCAAATTCCTGTAATCAGGTCAGATGGAACATAATCAATCGTACAAAGAAGGAAGTAAAAGCTTCTAAACTATAGTAGCTCCTTGAAAAGATAATGAGACAGCTTAACTTACATGGTAACTACAAATTAAGACAATGAGAGTGTGAGACAAATTAAATTATATGCTAATGAGACCTGAAAGAAGAATGGCTGCTAGTTCAATATTATGGAGGCAATGAAATACTACCTCTTTTTGGATGCCAAGTTATAAAGCATGCTTCTAAGTTATATTCACCAATAGGCTCAAGAATATTCGGTGTCTGAAACTCTTAAAAGCTTGCTTGAACTGGGGCTATGTTGTGCGTTGCGCTTGTTCTATTGTTGGCAGACCTCATGAGCAACCACTTGTGTGGATTCATAAGTCTAATTCTATGTAATCTATGAAGTTGAATGGGATGATTTGTGTAAGGACTTATGAGAGAAGGAAAGTTGGTTAAAGTGAAGGAGAAAATTAATTATCCTGCCATTCTCCCACGATATCATTTGGGATAAGTTCAATATGCAATTTTCTAGCTTAGGGGTCTCTAATTTGACTTTAACCTATGAGGTAGTAGCTCTGAATGATTTGATCATCAATTTTTTGGAGTGTGTAAATTTGAAATATAGGCATGGTAAAGATAACATGGATGTAATTGGAGATGTGAAATTAAGTTGAAGAATCTAGAATAAAAGCGTTGAGATTCACATGATACAATTATTCAGATTTCTCATCCTTGAGCATCTATGCCTCAACTTTTAAACCTGCTAAGTTACCTGGCTACAGGTTAATGATTCTATTTGTCTTCAAACCAATATTAATACCTGAAATTTGGGAAACTAGTGATGGAATTTTAATCAGACTTAGGCATTGATGTATCCATATAGACTTATAGATCGGGGGGCTGGTGTGTGGTTCCTAGGGGTCTAACCCCATCAGTATGCTTTCTTTTTCAATACCTCCCTATGGAATCAGTATGCAATCAGGCATTTTGGGCCTAATTTGTTTTCTTTTATTTCAATTAACAGATGTTACATATGCCTTGTGGAGTATGAGGAGGGGGATAGCATGCGGATATTGCCTTGTAATCATGAATTTCACAGAACTTGTATAGACAAGTGGCTCAAGGAGATTCACAGGTCATTGCACTTCTTTTTAATTTATTGTGATTCTAAATATGTAATTAACAGTGTGTCAGATAAAATAGACAGTGTCATTTGGCATCTCTTCCCCTCAACGAGTACATCATGGGTTTCACGCCTGATGTAAGGTTATCATTAAGAATAGTGTAGCGAAGGGGAATAGAAAGACGAACAGTCATATAAGACTCAAATGGCTCATCTAGAGAAGATTCCTCTTCTGAAAACTGAGATAAACGAATTTGTCTGTTGTATGGTGGTACAACAAATATGAAACAGCTGAGGGATGATACCAACATGACATACAGCATGTTGTCCCTAGGGCCTTCAGATTGCATGTAGGTTCATTCACTGTTTTTTCTTTCCATCAACCTACCCCATATTTTCCTTTTTGGTAATTTCTAGTAAATGATCTGTTGATTGCTATTCAATCAAAGGCATTTTGATCCCTTACATGTTTGTGACGGATTTGCCACTCTTTCTTGCTTCATAACCTGGTGGTGGAATGTATGGAGAATTAGATTCTTGCAGTTCATAAGCATAACATCAACAGACAACCTAGGCTACACCAATTTAACAAGGGAATTCTTGTCTGGCTGTTAATATCTTTATCTAATTGATGGACATACTCAATATATATATTTGTTTTATTTCAACTTTTTTTTAATTACTATTGGCTAGATAGAGCTCTACCTAATTTCTAGGATTGACACTTTCATTGTGAAGGATTGCAAGAAAATCTTGTAAACTTTAACTTCTAGGAAGGTTGTTTAAATTCGCTTGGCCACAGAAAGTTTATATATTTGTTGGCATCTGGTCAACAGTTTCCCTTTCCCTAACAGTGAGCTAGAAGGTACTGCTTCAGGTTTGTTCCACTTGCATGCATAATACCTTTAACAAAAACCCACACAGGCTTTCCTGGTTTCTACTAATGACCTATTTTTTCAAACTTTGAAAACGTTGAGGGCCTATTTAGTTCGGAAAATGTTTTTCATTTTCTTTCTCCATTTTTACTTTAATATGGTCTATAAGATAAGGTACGCCGTCTAATACATTAGAAAACATGGGTTCCCAAACTATAGTTAAAATTAGTGGAGAACAATTTAGAATAGATTTCTAGAAAATTCAAACCAATAGTTTCAGCTATTTTGTTATTTATTTTATTTTGTTGATAACGTATAAAGTAAAAATGAAGATTTAAATCCATATATAAAAAAAAAAGAAAGAAAAACAGAGTTGGAAAATTTAAAACGGTATCCAAAAATGAAGTGGCCCTTATGTTTCCTATAGAATGGCATCTTATGTGGTGGCATTGGTTTCCTTTCTTTTCTTTTTCACCCCTTGTGTTCTAATTCATTTGCTGCAAGATTATTTTGGTTTTAGGGATGTTTAGACGCTTTGCTAACTTGTTTATGGCTTGCAGGGTATGCCCTCTTTGTCGTGGGGATATTTGCGGACCTCATTCATTGCCTGCGGAAAACTAGAGGTTCCAATTTTTCTCCATATGCTTCCTGAAGAGCATTTGTAACTGTTGGAGATTGTAAGTTTTTAACCAAGCAAAAGATTATTGGTGACAAAAAGGAAAAAGAAAAAGAGAGAACATGATGACTGATAAAGTGATAATCTTGAGCATGAATCATGATGCTTTATAGGAAGTTCAGTCGTTTTTTCTTTTTTGCCTGCAAGTTCTTTGTCATCTGTGGCTGATCACTTTCGGCTGCATAATAAAGATCATTTGGGTTGGGGGAAATGGGCTGAACTTGCAATTTGTAGTGCCCTTGGGTGGAGTTGATTGGCCACGATAGCTGGAAAAGAAAGGACGAAGTGGAGGAAGGGTTTGTATTGGCTGGGGAAGGAGGAGAAGAAATTCATTGTTCATTGTGTTCTTTTTTACCGAGAAATATTATTACTAAAATGCTTCTAAAATAAAAAAGTTCCTTCAGCATATTATATCATCCCCTCCCTACCTATACTTAACTCGTTTGAAAGATGACCAGCACAGTGACTTATTAACTTTTTATGCTTTCTAGAAACGAAAAAAAAAAAGGGGCAAATCGTTTCATTTTTGTTTGGAGTCGGCAGCCCAATCTTTCGACGAATTTTGATATAATTCCATCTTATAAGATTGATTTATTTTTTAAAAATCAAATTTTAAATTAAATCAGATCAAATATTATTAAAAAAAAAATTTAAGTCATGTCGTGTTTGAGTTTTAAATAAATTCGATATTTATATAAAAATTAATTTTTTAATTTATATATATTTATATAATTATATATTTAAATATTTATATTTTAAAAATAATATTTTATATTTTAAAAAAATAATATTTTATTAATTTCAAATAAGATTAAATCAAATATAATTTATATAATATCAGATTAAATATAAAAATAAAAAAAAATTTAGATCAAATTTAAATTTGATAGATACAAAATTAAATTGAATTTAAAATGAATAAAGATCTATCTGATCCAATCTAATGTCAACCTTAGTTTTGTTGCACTAGTTCTCAGGTCAAGAAACTGTACCTGTATGAATGATTGGCACTTAAATATCCTGGCCAAGTGGCGAAGTTCTTGAGCTGATACCAACCTTTAGCATTAAAGCTAATAAGTATAGTATTTATTAGATAGTTTTTAAGAAGAAAAGAAAAATGGGGGATCTTATCCTCTGACCTGGCAATTTGTTCTGTCGGAGGGGTAAATACAGCGGCCTTGATGCTTATAGGGGCAAATTTTTTTCACTCAAAATCTAATCTAATATTTATATTACCATTCAATATGCATCTCTTTTCCTTGTGCGACTGCAATTCCTCTGATATGTGTATCACAATTTAAAACGGTACCTATTTGTTACATCGATCATTTCCAGCTCATTGTACTTGGCTAATGGTATTCTGCATGCATGCTGTGGTAAGAGATCGGAGTGGCTAAATGCATTTCATTCCGTTGTTACTCGAGAATGTTAAAAAACAAACCATTCTTCAAGTGCTCAACAGTGTCACAAAATCTTCCAGTACATCATAAGGTTAGGTTTGGTTTGTTTCTTTTCCTTTTTATTATTCTCTTCTTCTGCCATGCCTCCAATCCCAGTTTGAATTGTATTTTTTGTCCATTGTTAGCATTATTAGCAAAATGTACTACAAGTCATAAACTATAAAAATTTACGCAAGGAAGAATATATAGTTCAGAAACATGCAAAAATGTGATAATAACCATTCAACTTGATTTGGAAATAAGTGGAGTATATATAGGAATAGGAAAAGCAAATGCCATCTCTTTAACCAACACTAACATTGAAGCAAAATTAAGACCAGTCATTGGCAATTACATAATAATACTGCAAGTTCAGGCACCTTTGTATTCTTAGCTTGTTTGATTCCAATATTATACACTTTATTTTTTCTTAATTTTGATAAAGAATAAATAGCAAACCTGAGAGGCATGCAGAGTAGAGATAGACAGCTAGGACTTGAAGAAGACATGAACATCATTCAATATGCATGAATTATGACTGCATAAAGTAAGCACTATATATTATATATCTGGGACTTGTGATTCAGAATCAGTGTTTTGGTAAGTGGGTTTGCAACGGTAAGGGCAGTCTATCTTTTGAACGGGACTTTGCTCATAAAAGTGGGGTTGCAAGGGGAAGGGAAGTCTATCTTTTGAACAGGACGCTGCTCATAATACCAGTCTCCAACAGCCTTTGCAATTTTCTACAAGTATTTTCAATCACAAACAAATAATGAAAAATGTTTTAGGTCCTACTAGAGTTTAAATGTCCAACACCAACAAAATTATATGTAGACAAAAGAAAGAAGAACAAGGAATGAGATCTCTTATGTACGTACCGTGTTACCCACTGCTGGAGAATTATTTCTTGACCACGTTATCTGCTTTCCTGCACTTAAGAATTGCACCCTGAAATCTGTAATTATAAGACAATTTTTCCTTCATTCATGTAAACCTTCTATGCTTTCATTTACTAGAAAAACCAACTTGAAGCGCTTCAAAACTTGTCTCTACCTCCACATGTTGAATGCAATACATGTCATCCATGTCAGTATGCAAGGCCCTTGTCAAACTGAGAGGTCCAAAACGTTATTCTTCCAGTAAGAGATATAAGCTAATTTTCTTTTTCCACTCATTTTTTTTTTGCTTTCCCAATCTTTGATCACATTGAATTGTACCATGAAGCCTAGCTCTCTCAATTGATTTTGAGCATATTATGGTTTTGGGTATAGTAACATCAGCAAATGAACTGTCATATTGGCGTTTTCATAGTCTGCAAGAAACACTGCACAATAATGGTGAAAATGAAGAGTAAGTGCAGAAGAGTGAAGGTACTAATATTACTTTTTTTTTTTTATGGAAAAGATACAATCATTATGGTATCATATAGCCACACCTACCAACTCTGGTCTCATTCTCATTCTTGAAGTACAAGATGCTGGCAAATTCTTAACAGACCCCTGAACAAGACGTTAGATTTATAAGACTGGTAAGGGTCCATCTCAGTCTTTTTTGAGAAAAAGAAAATGCATTTGATGAACAATTCTAATATAGCTCACAATCATTAAAAATCTTCAAAAAAGTTCACCCCAAAAAAGGATGAGAGAGAGAATAGAGACAATATGTGTAATTGAGCCATTTGGCCATAGAAATTTTCCATGTGCTGCCCTCCAGAAATGTCCTTCCTACCAGAAATAAGGAATCCTGTAATGTTAAATTAGAGAGTTTGCATTCATGGTTGAGATATTCTGCCATTGTTTTAGCTATAATAAAGCTCAAGGTAGAAGTTTCTTCATCTGAACTTACGCATGGATGAAGAAGCCAGCATCTGAAATGCATTTTACTTTAGTTGTAGAGGGAAGAAGAGCTCTAAATCTTTCACAGTGCGAAGCCAATCAACCAGCAGAACAGCCAGAAAGAATAGCCTATAATAAACAGATACCAACAAGTCATCAGCAAGCAGTAAAAAGGTTAATGAATAAATTACCAAATATTAAGCAAGGCCTTACATTTTTAGCATTTCTCATTCCTTTTGCTAAAAGATCATCAATTATAGCCTCCCAATTTCTATTTCCTCTGACGTAGAGACTATTAACTTAATCACATCACCATTAGGTTAAAAACCAGAAAATGCATTACGCAGTAATTTTCTCAAATAATTCAAATAACTTACTGGATTGGCTGCCTCCACATCGCCTGTGAATGATGATCCATCACAGTACCTAACCTTAATTCGATTCCAATTGTAGAAATCTACATGCTCAAATAAAATAATTTTGCTTAAGATGAAAGAAAGCATCCAAAGGTGGAACTAAACCAGAGGGAAATTGTCTAATCCTACCTGGATTGGATTTTTGCTGGCTGCTCAAACGTCCAGAGAAACCAAATTGCTTGGCCAGATTTCTTTGTGTTCCTTGTAGAAGGGATGTCCTGTTACATATGAAGAGGCAATAAAGCCTTAAGATTCTGCATTTTAGAAAGAAGAAATAACACTTGAATTTTAGTTGACCTTCTACCAAGGTTCTAATTGGGGATAAAAGGATTTTCAAAAAGAAAATGAAGGTGGATGGAATCATAAATAAATTTAAAGCAAGATTGATAACCAAAGACTTTATACAAAAGCAAAGGATTGATTACTTTTATACTTAAAATTACTATAATTAAGCTTTTAATTTCACTTGCTTTTATTTATAACTAGCTTGTGGTCTGTGCTATGCATGGATTATATTTTTATATAATTATACATAAAAATATTATTTTTAGCAAAAATATAAAATTTACATATATATATATATATATATATCCAAATGATATCTAGGAAAATAATAGTTTTAAAATATTTAAACATTCAATATATAATATTATTTAATACTTAATTAAATACTTGATAAAATTTACTTATCCATATATTCAAATGATATCTAAGAGTAACTCATTATCATATGAATACTACATGTAATTAAAAAGTCATACGAAAAAAAAATCAAATTAAACATTTTGTCATAAGCGTGATCAAATTTGCCTTAATTACTTTAAGATTTCAACTACTTTTTAAATCAATTAAAAGAAATGCATGATTCTTTTTAATAATTATTTGTCTTTTTATTAATTTGAATATACATATTTTAGTTATAAAATCATATCATTAAAAAAATTATTTTGCTTTTGAAACTAAAAATTTTAATAATTTAAGACATTGTAAGAAATGATTTTGGAAAAAAAAAATTATATACTGAAGTATATGCTAAACCAAAAATTTATTATATATGTTTGAGAAAAAAAACCAAATATTTATTATATATGTGTTAAAAAAAAAAAACCAAAGATTTATTATATACTAACTTGTGGCCTGTGCTAAGCACAAGTTATATTTTTTTATAATTATACATAAAAAAATTATTTTTAACAAAAGTATAGAATTTACATATGTAGATATCCAAATCATCTATGGGAAAATAATACTTTTAAAATATTTAAACATTCAATAAATAATATTATTTAATACTTAATTAAATACTTGATAAAATTTACATATACATATATTCAAATGATATATAAGAGTAACTCATTATCATATGGATACTACGTGTAATTAAAAAGCTAAATGAAAAAAAAATCAAATTAAATATTTTTACATAAGTGTGATCAAATTTGCCTTAATTATTTTAAGATTTCAACGTAATTTCACCTACTTTTTAAATCAATTAGAGGAAATGCATGATTTCTTTTAATAATTATTTGTCTTTTTATCAATTTGAATATACATATTTTAGTTATAAAATCATATCATTAAAAAAAATTATTTCGCTTTAGAAACTAAAAATTTTAATAATTTAAGACATTGTAAGAAATATTTGTGGAAAACAGTAATTATATACTAAAGTATATGCTAAACCAAATATTTTATTATATATGTTTGAGAAAAAAAAACTAAATATTTATTATATTTGTGTGAAAAAGAAAGAACAAAAAATTTATTATATATGTATGAACTTTGGGTTGAAAACCCAATATAAATTCAAAAATATCAAACTGGTTAACCTTTGTGTTGAATCACATACAAAAAATGAAGAATAAAATTGTAAATAAAGATAAGTGAAGAATAGTTTCTCTTCTACTCATTACAAATGCAATACTTAGTAATCAAACAAAAAAAAAAAAGAGAAAAGTAGACTTTTAATCATTTTTTATTGGCAAATTGAATAATAAATTCATCAAAGAGATAAAAATACATAAGTGTCAAATATTAATAATAAATCAAAAAATAAAAAATATATATATAAATAGATCAAGTGAAATCATTCAAAGAAGTCTATAAATAAAATTAAACTTTTGATAAAAACAATTTATCATCATTCATATTCTTTTTTTAACATTATAACTTTTTGTTTTAATATAAAAACCTTGTAACTATAAAATTGAGAAGAAAAGATTAATTATCAATTAATTTTCATAATAAAATATTCAAGAACACTAAACCAAAATTGAAATAAAAAGAAAAAAAATTAAATAATCATAATTAAGATAAATCTAATAATTCTAATTTGAATAATCAAGGAAAATATATTTACAAAAATATAATACAAAATAAAAAAAAAGAACATATCACAAAAAATAATAATACTCACAAAGTTATAATCTTACAACAACCCTTTAAAGCTTATTATAAAATGCAAAAAATTGGTGTAAAATATCAAAAAGTTATACCATTATTTAAACAATATATTAAAGGAAAAAAAAAAAAAAAAGAACAAAAGAATACAAATGAAAATTTTTTTACACCAGTTGTTGTATGTGTCAACTTCATCATATCACCATCATATATATATATATAGACAACATACATACTCATAAATCAATTACATATTATTATGAAAACTTTTCATCCCCCTTAATTACATATTACTATAGTGTTTAAATTTTAAATACATAATTAGACCTATCAGTTCTTTTTATTTTTAAAATCAAACACTCAAAATTAAGGTAATGTAAGTATAAAAAGTTATAAAGAATTCAAAACAAAATTAAAGTTACTAAATGCATGGCCAATAAGACTTTAATTTATTGTGAAAAGTAAAAAGAAATATTTGCACTTAAAGTTTAAAAAAAAATTAAAGATAATTGAAAAATATTAAATATTAAATTAATTTGTAATTTTAATTTTGAAATTTGAATTGTCAATTATAATCTAAACACATGATATTATTTGACAATATTCATGCATAAAAAATTACCCTACTTATATAGACTTATTTTGGTTTTTTTTTTCATGTTAATATATTGTAGTTATCTTTTGTGTGTATGTGTCTATATATATATATATATATATATATAAGATGGTTCTAGCAAATTAATATGTTTAAATGATCATAAATAATGATTAGTAAATATGTAAAATTATTCATGATTAATTAGCTTTCTATTTAAATTTTGATTTTTTGAATTAATGATCAAATTAATTATACCTAACTTATAGGAGGCAAGAATATTGATATTTAAACATAATTAATTTAGTCATAATAAATTATTTTAAAATTAATTATATAATCAAATTTAATAACTATATAACACATGGCATTTATCTATAACATTGCACGTGTAAAAATTGTAACATATCCACATAGGATTATTTCCTTTTATGCTAAAAGTTTTGACTTTTATATATTTATATAAGATTTGATTATACATCAAATGGATGTAAAGATGACATTTTTAAATGGTGAATTAAAAGAAGAAGTATACATGAAATAATCAGAAGGATTTAATATTCAAGGTCAAGAGTACAAGATTTGTAAGCTTGTAAAGTCCTTCTATGAACTTAAGCAATCGCCAAAACAATGGCACTAGAAATTTGATGTAGTCGTTCTTGCTAATAGTTTTAAAATTAATGAATCCAATAAGTGCATATATAGCAAATTTGAATAAAGCAAAGGAGACATAATTTGTTTATATGTGGACGATATGCTAATATTTGACACTGAGTCAAAACAAGCTAAGGAAACAAAGAAATTTTTCAATGAAAGATATGAATATAGTAAATGTTATTTTTAGAATTAGAATAATTTGGAATGATAATGGCATAATCTTGTCACAATCACATTATATTAAAAAAGTGTTTAAAAAGTTTGATCTTTTCGATTGTATTTCAATATTTACACCCATAGATTCTCAACTAAAATTAGCATTGAATATTGGTAAGACAATGAAGTAATTGCAATACACAAAAATAATTGGTTGCCTAATGTATGCAATAACTTGTATAAGGCTAGACATAACATTTGTTACTGGAAAGTTAAGTAAATACACAAATAATCCAAATAACTTGCATTGGCAAGCAGTTAAAAAAGTACTTAGGTATTTGAAGAAAACAATCAATTATGGATTGTGTTATAATGGATATCCTCAGTTTTGAAAAGATATTCTGATATTAGTTGGATTACTAATATAAATGATTATGCTTCTACAAGCGAGTGGATCTTTGTATTTGGTGAGGGTACCATTTCTTGGGGTTTCAAGAAGCAACCTGTATAACGAATTTTAAAATTTAATCCCTCTAATATAAAAAATATTCTGAATTTTTTAGAAAATTTCTAGTTTTTTAAAAATATTAAAATTTAAACATTGTTACAATATTTTCTCATAATATTCTATCACAATATTAAAAAATCTATCATAATATTCTATCATAATTTTTATATAATCACTAAATCTGTCACAATTATTTATCATATATGTCAAATACTGTTACTAATGCTGTCACTATTTTTTGTTATATTTTGTCATAAAATATAAATATGTTACTACTTTTGTTATACTTTTCTATCACAATTATAATATATTGTGGGTATATGAAAAAAATCTTACACAAATATATTAAAAATCTATCACAAAATTTGTTAGTATATAATATAAATCTATAACTATCTAATTTTAATAAAATCATTATTATTAATTTATTAAATGAATTAAAATTAAAATTATATCTTATAAGGATAAAAGTATCCATCAAAACAATGTTTCTATTTCCTTAAATTAAACCATATTTAAATATTTTTTATAATTAAATTTAGATTCAAGATTTTAAATACATTAAAGTAATTTACTAAACTTAATATGTATTGGTTTTAAAATTAAACTTATTATTTAATTTAACATAATTTTTTAGATAATTTTTTTTTATGAAGATTCAAAAAATTGAAAATTCATATTATGATACATGATATTGATGATTCGGTTTATCAAATAAATCATTTCTTCCTTTCATTTTGTTAGAATTCAAAATTTATCCTTCAAATGGATAGAAGCTTATCTCTCGTAAGAATCTAAATTTAAATCTCTTATTTTGTTTGGTTTGATAGAATGATCATTTATTAATGGTTTATTTCGATTCATTACAAATACAACTCTTTTCAAATAATTTGGTTCATTATAAATTTTGTTATATGATATATTTAAATTAATTAAAATAAATTTAATTTTTATATATTAATTTAAAATATTAATATTATAATTGATTAATATAAATGATAATAATAATGTTATTAATATGATATTATTAATAATTAATTATATATAATAAAAACTAATATATTTCAAAAAATATTTTTATATTAGAGGGGCTAAAATATTTTTAAATTTTAATATTTTAAAAAACTTTAAAAAACAATAGTTTAAAATTCAAAATATTTTTTTATATTAGAGGAATTAAATTTTAAATTTCGTGCGAGTATAAAAACTAAATTTTAAATTTTGTGTTAGTATATGGATTAAATTTTAAATTTTGTATGAGTACATGGATCATTTATATAATTTTATAACTGATTTCATCCATCTAAGTTATAATGTCAGCAAATCAATGCCACATCAACAAAGTTAATACCTATGTCATCAAATTAATGGCCACATCAACATTTTTAAAGGTAAAAGATTAACAGAGTTAGTGAATATACTACAATTATCAAAATCAAAATAGTACTAGAATTAAATTTTTATGAATTATAGTAGAAGTACTAAATTTTAAATTTTTACAAAGTATAAAGAAATTTGACATAATTTGACCATAAAATAAATAAGTCAATTGATAATTTAATGAGAATAAATATAATTGATGTATTAAAATATTTTTAAATTTATATGAAATCAAATAAAAATAATTAAATGTAGAACACGTAGCGGTTGTTTAAATCGTCCACATGCCAAAAAAAAAACTATTCACATTAAATTTTTTTATGTCAAAAATTTTAACCTTTACATATTTATATAAAATTATATTATATTATACTATCCTAACAAAACAAAACAAAATAAAAAATCAAATTGTGAATTTTTAAACTCCATATTGGATATAGATCTTATGATAAAAAAAGAAGATTGGAATTGTAAATTTTTACTAATTTTTCTAGGAAAAAAAGAGAGATATGTACAACAGTTTGCTTTTTATTGGTATCAGACTACATTTTTAAGTAATTAAACCCATTTCTTTTCGTTCTCTACAAATTATTGTTCTCTTATGAAACACTTTTAATTAAAAGTAGCCGACAGGCCTGCCCTATGCTGTGGGTTTGTTTTAACTATGAAAATACTACAGCCTGCAATTGACTTGGAGCAGGGAATAAATTGACCAGCAGGGACCCACCAAGACCATTGCTCCTAAAGACCATTTCTCAATAAATTCCTTAGCTCTCTAAGATTTTGTGGCACCAACCCTAACAAACCCTTGTAGATGAGATCAAGGTCAACTAAGCTATTAAAGTCATCAAGTTAAGAAGATATTGAAGACATTAAACTATTGTTTGAAAGCTTCGGACGTTAAACAATAGACCTATAGACTTTGAGGCTTAACAACAGTAACATCTTTATCTATATTCAGGAAAAAGTACAAATGATCACGTGTTATTTTCCACTTATGAACCACAGGTAAGATAAATAACGTGTTAATCTAAATTTAAAAATACAGTACTTTACAAATCCCACTAAGGCTAATCATTCAAATCAACTACCAAAAAGGAACCGTGATAAAGAATGACAGATTCCTTCACATTATTTTTTAGTAGTAAATGCAGAGAAAACCTTTTGGCAAGTTTAGAACTTGAGATCTATGTGTGCATGTGTCCAAGTGTTTTTGCACAGTAAAATTGGTTAATTGCAATGACCAATTTAGACGTAGAAGGTCTGATCTCTTTAATGCAAATAGAAAATGAAATTACCCTCTTAGAGTTCAATATGTAAGTCACATAGGTAAAAATTAGAGAAAATGAGCACTCGTAGTAGATAAATATGAAGTGAGTCAAAAGAAAATACAATTTTCAGCACTTAACGGCCAAATAAGCTTGGTTAGGGCTTTATTCATTTGAAACAAATTAATAGAATTTACGTGAAAAATGGCATGGAGTGATTTCATCACATATAATATTTTACTTTTTTTTTGGGCAATGCAAATTATTCTCCCTTATATACAACCAAAGTTTCTTCACAACCTAAAAGTGTAGTAAAGAAGAGAGCAAAAGTCAACTCTAGGATTTCAAAATTCCAACAATACCATCGTGAAAAACTACTACAATTAAGGGGGAAAAAACTAATACCCATACCTCAATTCTATGCAATTCAGACTCTCCCACTACTTTTTGAAGCTGAGGAGAAAGGCTATATACTTTCTAAAAGCCACCTCCTCTTTTCTTGACTTGTTTGTCAGCTTTATTTGCTCTCCTACACAAAAGAAAAATAGGCAACAACTATCCACAATATTAATACCAGCAACGTGCTGCAAAAAACAACTATATATAGATAGAAAATAAGTTTTAAGGAATGGATAACAAATAAATGGAGGGAGATGAATAAAAGGAAGCCAGGAATTGTCACCTCAGAACTCTACAACTATAGATATTGGAAGCAAATGGCTCAAAGCATTCACTATTTCCAAGAATATGGCTAGTTCAAGCAGTAGGCATACGTGTTAACAAAAGTGAATTTGTCACTCTATTCTTAGCTATCATATTCCTACGAGCATTCCAATTCGAACGATCTGAACGAGTAACACCCTACATCTCTGGCTGAAGAATATTTTGTAATTTAACAGAAAACTCAAGGGTGGACAAAATAAATCAGCAAAAAATGAGCATTTAAGACATTGTAATCACATTGAATAACCAAAATAAAAAATAATTGCATGCATTTTAAAAAAAATTATGAAAATCACCTACCTTACTCACAGGACTCTCATTACACGGCTCATAGGGGCCCTCTTTCTCAGCTATATCAGAAGAAGCTTTTAGAGCATCGTAGCATATGATATCAAATATGTCATTGTTCAGCTGCTGAGCTTGAAATTCAAAACAGTAAACTATGAGACAAAACTAATTCAGGTTAAAAAGGTATAGCAAATCAATTTATTTGTAATCAAATATACCTCAAACAAATCAAAGGCCATGCCAAATAAGATGAATGTGTCTGCAAGCCCTGAACTACATTGGAACCACCCACTAACAATTTATATAAATGAACTCTAAGTAACAGCCCCAATATACATAAACCAAATTTATATTTTCATGTTGTGAGAGATACATCCTGTAGTTAATATAATTTCAATTATAATCATTTATTAAAGTCCATTATTAAAAATAATTGGAGCATAGTCATACAATATATTAAAATATTTTATCTTTATAAGAATCATTCATAACTTGATAAAATAACAACAACTAAAACCCCAATAAAAACAAAAAATCTGGCACCCATATGGTTGAGATGTTCAAATTATTATTAACCATTAATTTATTTGAATTGAATTTCATTACGAATAGAAAATTACCCCTCTATCCCTTGTTGAATTTTTTTGAGCAAATTCTTCAACCTGAACCCAAATGAAAAGGATTAAAGATATCAAATTCAACAATAAATAAATAAGTGAATAAAAGTTACTTATTGAAACATTACACAACAGTTTCATATCAATATCTAAAAGTTCCATATTAAAGTTGGGCAAATCAATGAAACATTACCTTCAACAATTTCTTCTTTCCAAAACATAGTATGAAATTTCACATAAGAAAAATTAAAAGCACGTAAAATCTCGCCCAAAAAAACATTTTCAATAAACATAAACAGCATATAGTCAAAGATAAATAAAAGCAATCCAAGGATATAGTTAATTTTCGAAGATATTGTAGGTGCATTGACTTTGTTCGATCATATTGAGAACTTGGGTTAGTAAATCTGCAGTATTGACAACTTGTTTTATATTTTAAATTTTAATAGAATATTGCAGTTCTTATTAGTGTGCGCTACACTCAATTATTTTGAACATCCAAGGATACAGGTTAAATCAAGTACTAATAATATATTTGAGGATACAGGTTTCCCTAATAGTTCAGCTATGCCAGTAAAACTCAAATGTAATTAGTCAAGAAATCCAAAAATATGAAGAAAAATAAAAAAATAAGAAAATAAAAATTAATTAAATCCTACAACTAACAATAAAAAGCAAAAAGAAAAAAAAAAAACACCCATTCATAAAGAGAGGAATTCATTGTCGGAAAGAAAAGATTCAATCTTAACCTTAGCCTCTAAGACAATAAGGGACTACTTTGAATGGGTATTTGATTCTTGAGGAAGGCAAAAAGTGGTTCAAGTTGTTGAAATCCTACAGTCATGGTTAGTTATTGAAAACCAAACAAAAGTTTAAGTCCTTAAAATTTCATACAATAGATAAATTAATTAAACAATTAAAAACCAAAATAAGGATTAAATAAATAAATAAATTGAGAGAATGAGAACAGAAAATTTACCTTGATTAAGACAAAAAAGAAGAAATAAAGATCAAAAAAAGAAAGAAAGTTGTTGTAAGCCAGTGGATCTATGGAAGACTCCAGAAGTTGTATATATTTGGTTTTTGAGGAAGGCAAAAAGTGAAATATCTCCATGCACTTCTGAAATTTTCTTTTTGTTTTTTTATATGATAGAAAATACATATCATCCTATATACTTAGCTTACTTCCTCTTATGTATTCAGACCCTATAGAACTTATTTGGATGCCTATCCAACCCTCTGCATAAAGAAAAAAATCACCCAACACATTTAAGAGGTTTTTCAAGTTTCAAAATCGTGTACATTGTCTCATAAGTCAAATTGCATAACCAAGCCATAGATAAGGTGAATAGCAAAGACTAAATTCCTCCCAAAGCTATTTGCAATGTATAAAAATGATACTATAATTAGACCAACACTCGTAAAAATCTTAAAATATTTGATATATACATGCCAAAATTGCCAGAAATTATGAACAATAGCATTAGCATTTTTCTATCTTAATCTAAAACAACATAAAAAGTTACACTCTTCATTACAATAGCATTTTTTCTTTCTAAAGAGTCTATTTGTACAGTCACACCATAGACAAGGATCAACCACATAACAACTGAGCAAATGTGTATACTTAGGGTTTTTTTTTAATTAAAAGCAAACATGCATTGGATATCCAACAAAATGAATGGTCAATTAGTAAAAAAGGTTTTAAAAAATTATTACATTTTCTTCTTTCTCTTCCAAGTAAAATACTTATAACCTCCATAAAAAAGTAAACCCCAGCTTGTTAAAGAAACAATCACCAACTGCAACAAACATAAAAGATTAATTCAATAAAAAAAAAAGGTGAAAATTTAAGCATTTCAAATTGTTGGGTTTTAAGAATAAGCAACTAAGCAATTAAAAATATACCAAAAAAAAATTACATGCTCTTGTTTCCATTAAGATGGGTTCATGAGGTCTTCCTAAAAATTCAACTTTGGAGGTCCACAATGATCTGCAACAAAACCCAATCACCAAAAAAAGATTTTTTTTTTATTGAAATCAGCTCAAAAAGAAGAAAGACATTATTTTTCTTATCATGGTTATAAAATGGTGATAAAAGTGTGAGAAGGTAGTACCACCGCCACCGTCGATGAGGCCGCAATGGCGGATGAGGATGGCAGCTAAAGGAGTTGAAAAAGCTGACTTTGGTGAGGATAGCCGTGCCAGATTGGTGGCCTGGTGAGTCTTGGTGGTCCAAGCTGATATAGTTTTGGTGCAAGCTGCTCTCTCTGTTTTTTGGAGTGCTTTTGAGAGTGTGTGTAGCATGCTTTCTCCCCATTACCCTTCTATCAGATGCAGTTTTTGGAGAATAAAAGTAGATGAAATTCTTGAAGAAGTTTTTTTAAGTCCAAAATTTCTTTTTATTATTATTATTTTTACATTGTTAAGCTATCTCTTTAATATAAATTGGGAATAATTTTTATATTAAGTTATAGATTTTGGATTAAAAACTTTTACTTAAAAGATTCATTCAAAGTGGACTGGAAGGAATATTTGACGGATTAGGAAGAAAACACCTCATATATATATAAGATATAAGATATATATATATATATATACATAATATATATCTTATACTTTATTGACGACATCAATTATCTTTAGAAAAAATAGTTTCACTTTAAAATGAGATAATAATTTATTGAGTTCCAAATTTTTTATTTGCTTCATTTTGGGTTTTGCAACAAATTAATGGACTTTCATTGATTTATGATTTATAATACAACTTTCAGCTTAATTTGAATAAATGAGGTATGTGCACACAGCATACTTATAAAATAAAATCTAAAAAAAAATTACAACGAAACTGAGTGGTAGCTTTTCGCTTTGCTTGATATGTGTCCTCTGACGTGACCTCTACTCTCGCCTCGTTTGGAGAATGGTTCAAAGCTGTTGCTGATGGGCTTGAAACTTGGGGTTTCAGCTGATTGGGTGTTGCAGCATATTGCGGGCCTAACGTAGTTTTCTTGGGCCAACGGGCCTTACTCTAGTAAGGTGAACCATACAGAAACCAAAACAATGGGCTGGGGTTAGCTTTTAAAACTATTTTATTTATTTATTTTAATTATCTTTCATTTCAAGCGAGGGTTGTAAAACAAGTGGAACGCGGCGCTGAGTGACTGTGATCGAACGAACATGCTCATCAAGACCAGGAGTTTAGCTTTAACTCCTTGCCTACCCGTTCATACCATCATCGGCAGTGTCAGGTACTTTTGGCTGTGCTCTGCAGTGCAGAGTGTTTCTAAAAATAAAATCTAATTTTTTGGTCTCTTTTTTGTTCGAAATTCATCTCATGATCTCTGTGTGTATCTGTTTAAAATTTTAGTAGTAAATTGAAAATGGACAGAAGCGGCAAAATGAGTACGAGGACAAGCACGGGAGGAAGTAGCAGCAGCAAGGCAGCACCAACAATGCGGGAATTTGTTAGGGTGGACGGCGGTGCCGGTACCAGAAGCCAACCTGAAGTTATCAAATTCCGTCTTGTATCATACAACATTTTGGCTCAGGTAACTAGTTTTTGGGATTTGGGATCATTTTTTTTTTCTTGTCTTGTTTGTGTAAGTAATCTAAAGCTTCCATTTTCAATAAAGTAGTATTATGTTTCTTCTACTTGTATGTATTGTAGGTGTACGTCAAGAGCTCTCTGTTTCCGCATTCTCCGTCTCCTTGTCTCAGGTCAATTAGTTACTTCTTCATCTTTTCTCTTCTCTTCACTTATCCCACTGCCATTGCCTTTCCTTCTCCTTTCTTCTTAACGTCTTTTCCAATTTTAGTATTTTTAACCTCATTAGTATAGTAAATAAATTACCACATGCATCGTCTTTCAATCCAAATTTCCTTTCTTTATTACCTTTCGAATTTCTCCACATCTTTCACTTGTTTATCTTCTCTTTCAACTTTGATTATGGCCACCTCAAAAAGGATAGTTGTTGATTTTTTAGTAAATATGCATTTTCCTTTCTTTTTTCAAATTTGTTTTCTGCAATTTAATATCCAAGTGATTGTTTACTATTGTATATGTAATCAAACTGACTTGTAGGTTATTCTTAATTTTTCTGATTCTACTTTTTAACAGATGGAAGGCTCGTTCACAAGCAATTTTAACTCTTCTTAAAAACCTTGGAGCTGACTTCTTTTGCCTTCAGGTTTGCTTCATTCTTTTAAATGAAGATCATAAATTTGCACTTTTTTCTACTACCTTCATCTCCCTCTCCAGCTTCTGATCTTCTATGTATTGACCATGTCAGTGCATGTGCATAGATACATTGTGTATATTTATGCATATTATTCTAATTGCCCTTTTTTTATGGTCTAAAAACATACCAGGAAGTAGATGAGTATGATTCCTTTTATAAAAGAAATATGGAGGACCATGGATATTCTAGTATATATGTTCAGAGAAGTGGACAGAAGCGTGATGGGTGTGGAATATTTTATAAGAACAACTGGTATGCTGAAACTAGTCTTTATTTTTCTTTCAAAATAATTTCCTTGAACATATATACTAGAATTTGAAGAATATTCTAGCGCATATACCAGTAGATTTTTTTACAGCAACTTTTTTTCAAATTAAAGTTTTTTCTCTTTCTTGGGTGTTTATTCCTTACATTTTGTGTATGTGTTTTGCAACAAATTTTGCCTTTACAAGATCCTCCTTTTACATGAAGCCATCATACTGTCTTATTTTACAAACTTACCGTCGCACAATTGCTTCAGTGCAGAATTCCTTTCAAAGGAAACAATAGAATACAATGATCTTGTAGACGTGATACAGGGTGAAACCTCCTTATCTGCTGACAAGCAGAATGAGACACTGACCAATACAAATAATGGTGCTGGTCCAAAGAATGGTAACCTTTTCTATTATTATGTTTTCTTTTTGCATCCAACAACACCCGTATTGTACTTATGACTTGTTGCTTGATTTTCTATCGTTATGTTTTCCTTTTGGATCCAACAACACCCATGTTTTACTTATTATGACTTGTTGCTTGATATTTTGGCATCTTAAAGCTGTGTTATGTAATTTTATTAGCCTTTCTGCCCCTGGCTTTGAGGACTCCTCAATAATTACTTTGCTACCTGTTACCCTTGTTTTCCCCTGCTTTGAATTACAATGGACAATTAGTTTTACTGTACATGCATTTGTTTTAGTGTCTTCTCTTCCTCTTTTTCTCCAGAAAATTTTGGGAGGTTTTTAAGCCTTTACTAGTTGATATGGATCGAAGAGAAGCTTTATTTGGTATTATCATTGAATGAAAGGCTTTATAGGAAATCATCAAACAAATAGATCAGTTAGAGATGCCCTGTTTTCTGGGGTTTTTGGAAGTTAGTAAATTGTGTTTCCCTAGTTAACTTAAATTGTGTTTGCAGAAAGCAAACGGTCGTGTAAAAGCATATTGCATTTTAGATTGCTAAACTTTCACTGGTTCATAAATCATATTATTATTGTATAATATCATTGCTTGCGGCTTAGGTTGATAAGAATAGATCTAATATTCTGCAGAATGCTAAAATTTAACTTTTTAAGATGGTACATTCTTCTGCTTGAGAAGGGCTTTTCACAAGGAAAGAAGTGCAGAACTAGCATTGTCATCAGCTGAGCTGGTGATGGCATGTTAATCATAAACTGTCTTCTAGTTATATTTATCATAGATAATATCTGCACTAAATGTCTCTCAGTCAAGTTTTCTTAGTTGATATTAGAGCACAAGTATAATTTGATGAATAACAAAAATGATATAGTTCATTGCATATGCTAAGCAAATCTTAAACCATTATTTGCTTTATCTCTACCTTAATAGTTTTTTTTCTAAAATTCTATTTTTTGCGATGGAACTTGCTATTATCTCCAACTACAAGCTAGTAATGATATGGTATGCTGGTAGTTCACTGCTTGGATGATCTGTTATCAGATTCTTCTGTTAAAGAGCATCATGGAGATCCCAATGATCCACGTGTAAGATTAAAACGAGATTGTGTAGGAATAATGGCTGCCTTTAAACTCAAGGATCCTTTTCATCATGTTGTTATTCTGGCCAACACACATCTTTATTGGTAAACTATCCAAATTTTTGTTTATCCATTTAATGTAGGAATAATGTGTTATTCATCTTGGATTCTATGGGGTTGAAGCATAAGTATATTTATTGCTGTTTTTTTCCAGGGATCCAGAGTGGGCTGATGTTAAGCTTGCCCAAGCCAAATATCTTTTATCACGCTTAGCTCAGTTTAAAACACTGGTAACAGACAAATTTGAATGTACTCCATCATTAATTTTGTCTGGTGACTTCAATTCAACTCCCGGCGATAAGGTTTGCTAGTACATTTTATTTATTTATTTATTAAATTTTCATATATATATATATATATATGCTTATCTAGGTTCCAGGGGCAAATTTCTAATTCCCTTAGGCTACGTAATTCTTCAATTTGCTAATAGTTTCATGTTATCTGTGGCTTCTTTTTTGACCATTTCATGCAATTTTATGTAGGAAAATGAACCTGATAGTTGTGTGACAAAACTGCACATGTCATGAATCTCAACCATTAGATTAAAAAATTTTTCATCCTTCCCCTTTTCCATCCTCCCTATCAAACTTAGCATAAAGAATAAACCTCTAGAAGGAAGACTGTGGATGCAAGTGAACTATGGTTGTGCTGAGTAGCAGTTTGTCTTGCATAGTTTTGTTTTGTATTCTATATCTAGCGCATGAAAATGGACAGTTTTACCCCATGAAAGCTCAAGTGTGATGTTTGGTGAACTTGAGCGTCCAAAAGCATTGCCTGACTTGTTCAATACTCTAATTTGACGTTCATTGCTCTTTTTCGATCACCTTAAGCATCCTCAGTCAAAAGCCTTCCCTCCTCCGTGGCTGGTTTTTAGAATGCTTTCTGGGCCTCCTTATTTTTGTGATATCAATCTCCTGATGTTTTGTACATTGTTCTCCCACATTTCATCTTTGGGCTTATTTCCTTGGGTATTATTCCAATTCAGGGATAGAAACCTGGCTTCATCCTCAACAGAAGCCTTATTAGGCAGTCAGACCTGCATCGTCTGTTTCACAGCATAGCAAGGCATGTTTTTTATTGCTTGATAGTTTTTAAGCAATAAAGAAGCTTTTATGGTTGACATTCTGAATAGCCATTTTTTTTATCTTGATAACTTTTATGAATGACTTAAGTAGTTGCCTACAACTAGTTTTTTGTTCTTTCTGCAGCCTTACACTTTGCAACATTCTGTATGTTCTTATCTTTGCAGGTTTATCGGTATCTTATTTCTGGCAACTCTTTGTCAACATCATCAGTTAGATGTTTGGAAGAACTTCCCCTTCCCTTGTGCAGTGTTCATGCTTTCACAAGAGGAGAACCACCATTTACAAACTGCACCCCGGACTTCACAAATACGCTTGACTACATTTTCTTTTCCCCATCTGACTGCCTAAAACCTGTTAGTATTCTCGAACTTCCAGTGTTGGATTCACCTGATATTACTGGTGGATTGCCAAACTATAGCCACCCGAGTGATCATCTGCCAATAGGTGCTGAATTTGTAATTACTAAAGACTAAAATATTCGAGTTTGAATCTGCTGGATTCTTTTCTCGCTGGAGAATGGAGAAAGAGATAAAAGGGCCAGAGAAAGCTAAGAAATCTCTCAAAGATCTGTTTAGCAGGTAATGTGTGGCTTTCCAATTTATTTGGTAGAAACATTTGATTTTTCAAGCCTGTAACAAGCTGACAAATAACTAGACATTTTTGGTTTTGGAACTCGTTATTAGAGTGAATGCAATATTTTTTTAGGATAACACTTTAAATTTGTTATTGTTCTGTAAGTTGCTTTTGAGAAGATATGGTAGGTTTAATGATATTCTTGGCTATTAATGTCTCGTAGATCTCATGTATGATACTTTGGGGTTCAGGCTGGGGCTGTGGGGCATCTATTCTGAGTCTATTTAAAGGGGAACTGGATTAAATTGTCCTAAGCAATCAATTTTCAATCGAGGCCAAAAGACGTACCAAATTCCTCATGTGACATGTTACTGTATGTCTCTAGTTTCGATTTGTTTGACATTTCCCAAACGCCGTTAAAGTGAGATAAATCCCAGACAACCTGCAAACATAATGTAATTGCTGCTTATTCTTTGTATTAGATCATCCAGTCTTGTGGCCTTTATCGTTTGTAATTGTTCCAAATAAGATAATTTTGTACTACATGGAGTCGCCAATGCAATGCCAGGAGATGAGATTAACGAATTATTTCAGCCCTTTCCCCTTTCTCACTTGAATGGAATCATAAATAGAAGATCATTGCTGTAATTCTTAGAATCCTACAAGGATAATCACTGGAGAACAACTGTTTCTATCAGAAAATAAATTTGAATTTATTGCTAATTGTTTGAGTTTATTCAAGAATATGATTTTGTAATTTGTTTGTAACGAACGTCAGCCTGTTCGCCATTGTTTTTTGTATTCGATTCGATCAAAGAAAAGACAGAAATATGGTTAACCATAGATGTTACGGCTACGGGATTTGGAAATTGCTGAGGTTAGTGCAGGCAGATTGATGCTGCAGAGACAACAGGATTTGGAAATTTTTAAGGTTATTGCAGGCAGATCGATGCTACAAAGACAAGCACAAACAAGCGTTACCAATTTACCATTAGCAAGGGTCATCCATCCTCATCCAACATCTCTTCCATTTGACCTAGATGATTGGATTGAATTAAATTTCCCTAAACACGACCAACTCCCAGCTACTAATTTTGGAAAACCAAAATGGATGGAGAATGAAGCAATATCCAATCTCTGAATCTAGTTGTCAAAAAGCATACGTCTAATACTTTGATGCATATGCCTAAAGTGAATGGGTGTCTAATCTTAAGCTCGGTCACTTCTCTAATCATCACCTTTACTCAATTGATATATGGGTATCTCTTTCTTCCTCTCAACCAAGTTGAATTGCGAACAAATTTGCAGAGCTCTCTTTTTTTTCCCCCTTTTTAATCAACATAAGAAACCAAGAGGCCCAAAGTCTTAATTCACTATATTCATCAGATAACTGGCGCCAGTGCTTACATTGTAGGATGTCATGCTCAATGCAATAATTAATGCATTGCATTCGACTCAGAAAATTCTCAGTCCAAAATGATGCTGCCTTTCTGCCTTGACAATTCAAGTAGCACTTCTCATTTCTCAACGATTAGGAATTGGATAATTTTGCCGTTATAAATGGAGCCATTGAGACAAATCACTTCTCCTTTCTCCTTTGTACTTATTGATCACCCAACCTTTTTGTTTAACATGTACTGAACATAAACATAATCTTTCCAAGAACAATTTAAGAAGGAGTTCACAAATGGAAGTATGTATAGGAATAAAATATTGTACGATAGCTTTTCATACGGAATTCTGATTATGTCAATCTATAATAAATTCCATTACCAAATATAGGCATTAATATAATACTAAATTAAAGATGCGTTCTCAAACAAATTGTATCCTATTCCTACTCTTTCTAAAAGTTTAATATAATAAGGAATTAAAGATGCATTCTCAAACACATTGTATCTTGTAATAAGCCAAAATTATTAGTAGCAAGCAAGATATCATCAATATACAAAATCAAAAATATAAACCTATTTTTATTGGCATTTAGATATATGCATCGATCAATAGTATTTTCCTTAAATCCAAAAAAAAGTAATAGTATCATTGAACTTAAGATACCATTGTCTAAAGCTTGTTTAGGTTCATATATTGACTTTTTAAGTTTACACACTAAGTGTTCCTTTTTTAACTAAAAACCCTTTAGGTTGGTCTATATAAACTTCTTCCTTTAAATCTCTGTTTAAAAAAATTATTTTCACATCCATTTGATATAATTTTAAATCATAATGAGCCATTATTACCATAATAATTCTAAATGAGTCTTTTTAAATTATTACTCTTTCTAGAAGTCATAGATAAAGGAATTTGCATGCAAACTTCTTGAAATTCCACATTGTATGGTTCCACACTCCCACTCATTTCATCATTTTTAATGAACCTAACATTTTTAGTTTTAACAATTATTGTACTATGGTTAGGACAATAAATTCTATATTGGATAACCACTAAAAAAATCATTGATTGTACTTGAATCTAGTTTTTTCTCATGTGGATTATAAATTCTTACTTTTGCTGGAGAGCTCACATGACGATTTTCAAAGCATACATCCACAATGAGCACACATGCCATGCTTTTCAAGGAATTTAACAAATGGATCAAGATGTTGTCTATTTTCATCATACCTTCCATAATATTCATCACCTCTATCAAATTTGATAATTTTTACCTTATTATTTAATTATCTTTCAACCTCATTAATAAATACCTTTAAGGCATTTATTGATTGAAATTTTTCATGCAATAAATAGACATAACAATAATGTTAAAAATCGTCAATAAATATGATAAAATACTTTTCTCTACCAAAAGATAAAACATAAAAAAATCCACAAATATCAGTGCACATAATTTGAAGGAGTAGTGTGCTTTTTATAGCTGTTTTCTTAATTGAGTGTTTTGTGTGTTTTCCTTTAATACAACCCACACAAATACCAAGACCAGTAAAATCCAAATTACAAAAGATTTCATTCTTTATCAATTTTTGTATTCTTTCTTTGGATATATGACCTAAACATTTATGCCATAAGTAAGCTAAATTTTCATTCATTACACCATGTTTAGTACTAATATTATGATGCAAGGTCAATAAGATTTCAACAAAAAAGTTATCAAGATTTAATTTGTATAAACCATCACACAAAATACTAGAGCTAATAAAATAATTATGTTTAAATAATTGAAATATCCATTTCCAATATTAAAAGAGTATTCAGATGTATCAAGTTTAGACAAAAAAAATTAAATTTCAAGAATTAGAAAGAACATAAAAAGTTTGAAAAAGATCTAAATAGTGTCAAGTGTTTAAAATTAAACAGTTAGTTTCAATGGCTTCAACTAGGGTTTTGACTCAATTTCTCATAAAAATAAAATTTTCATTTGGATTTATGGTTTGGGTCGTAAAAAATCCTTACATCATATTTTAAACGTGAGTGGTGCAACTAGAATTAATCCACCAAGTGTTATAAGAAACTTCTATCAAATTTAATTAAAAACATATGAAAGCATTAGACTTACATTTTCTTTTAAACCATGTGTTACATTTTAAGTAATCTTTCTAAAAGTATCCAAACTTTTCCACAGAAATGACACTTATATTTCTTTTATTCTTTCCTGTGGATTTGGGTAGATAATGCATTAATCTTTAGTGATCATTTATTACCTTTTCTATTTTTCTTTACTACTTTTTTTTTAACTCTTAGCTAGTCTATGAGATTAATTTAGTGAATTCTTTACGTCTTAAGTTTTACTTTCTCTTGAGTAAGTATACTTTGTAGTTTAGTCATATTCCATTTATCTTTTATAGTGTCGTAATTTGTTGTTATATTTGACATTTCAATGAAATGCTCATCCATAGTATGATAACCATAAAATTTCATGGTAATTAGTATACCCATTAATGTCCTAGTAAGTGACTTATCAACAAAGTCAGATTGAGATATAGCTTTCACAAACTCTAAAAATTCTTTAGCATTTTTAGTGTTAGGAATCGTTGACTTAATGTTGTTTGCTACTATCATTCGCATGAATATCAAACTTAGTCTATTTGATCTTTTTCAAGTATTATGAAAAAATTTTTGTTTAATAATGTTGAATCAGTAAAGCAACAGGCCTATCAGTCAATAGTGTCAAATTAAGATCCAAACACTTAGATGATACTGGACTTGTTCACACCATTCAAAAAAATTAAGCTCATTGAACTTTGTAATAGATGAAGCTTGCAAATAAAGAGAAACAAGAATAGATGTTGCAAAATAAATGGAATGCTCATATGTTAATGCTTTGAGTTGTAATCTAAATACATAATAAAGATTCAAATAACATTTATGTAAACATTAAATGCATATTAAAGTTCTCATTTGGGTGATCCAACAATGTATAACAATAAATATAATTGATGCTTAAATTTCATTTCACACAATTAACAATTATATATACTCTAATTAGACATGCTTACTATTTTTGAATATGCATGCAAAAATATCTAATAAATTATATTAATCAACCTCAATTATGTTCATGATTATAGAATTAACCAATTTACCTTTGGGTGATCCTTAAATATTTTATAGTTATTAAACTTTAATTCATTCAGTAAGCATATATCATTATGTTATCTCATTTATAGAATCACATAATCATGAGTAATTGAATTTTATTTAATTTGACATCTATAAAAACTTTTCAATTTGACCACTTTGGTGACTAACAAATTATACATATTATAAATATCAAAATAAATTATCATAATAATTATTTTAATAATAATAGACATAATGATAATCCAAAACATAATATGCAGTTACTGTTACTTTTATGAATAAACAAAATACTTAGAAACTATCATATATAAATTTCACATAAATATTGTATTTCACATATATAATAAAATACAACATATATGTAAGTAGATAGGCATAAAATAATTAAAGATTCATTTACTTTATTGACTTTTGTAAACATTATAAAGCTTATAATATTTAATTGTATTATTTACAATTTAATAACTATTAAGTTTAATTCGTTTATTTTATCTTACATTCATTATGCCACATTTATTATTTTTGTTTATGTTATTTCTCTTTTAGATATATTATATATTCTTTAATATATTCATTAATCTAACAAATATATATTTATTATATTATACGTTTCGTCAATATATTAATATAATAAATATGATTTATTGTTATACTAAATTCATGTAAAGACAATACCTATATTGTAAATAAATGAACAACAATTTTAAAATAATAATGATATAAAAAAAAGAAAAGCAAAAGAAACTCTAATTATTGTTTTAGGAGTTCATGTAGCATGCCAATATTAACTGGCTAAATGTTTAATTTAGAACTAAACATTTAGGGTGTTGCTTAATTCAGGATTAAACATATTGTTTTATACGAATTATGATCAAATATTATCAACTTGTAACAATTTAAAACTTTTTAACAAGTGTAAAGTACATGTACCGTTAACTCTTTAATGGTAACATTTGTCAAAATAATATAAAAGATGGTAAATAATTTGACTAAAAATAAAAAATTTCAATGAATTTTTTTACATCACTCTCATTTTTTTATC